CCTCTGTCTCTGCCACCGCCACCATGCACATGTACTCGATCATCATTCTCCGGATCCCGGAGGGCTCGCACGCCGACTACCGTGACGAGCCGCCGCCGCCCTTCATCCTGGATTCCGACTTCAATTTGAGCTCTTTCTCCTTCTTCCAGCGGACCAGGTACGTGTGGAGGCTGTCTGCAGCCCCCCTCCCGTCCTCTGGGCCGATGTCGCCTGGCTAAACCGTGTGTCCCCCCCCCCCCACCCCCCCTTTCCTTTCACGTTCTTGCCCCCTGTCGACGCAGCATCAAGGAGTTCATCATCTTCGCCAGCAAGACCGTCGCGGCGCGGAACGCCCCGGGCACTCGCTCGCGTGTCAAGGAAAACGGTGCGCCCTGCCTTCATCACGCCTGGCATCCCCTCCCCCAAGCACGCACACATGTACACACGGCCTGGCTCACCATGGCACTCCATACGCGTGCTCTTTGCGCCCGGAAAAAAAAAACCCCGCACAAACCCACACACACACACACGCACAAACGTACATCCATAGACTACCACCTGCACTGCCAGTCCACTGTCGATGGGCTGTGCTGCATCGTCGTCTGCGACAGTGCATACCCCTCGAATGTGGTCTTCCGCATGTCGAACCAGCTGCTGATGGACTACCGCGAGCGCTACCCGGTGGAGGTCCGCCGCACGGCCACCGCCCCCCTTCCGCTGCCCAAGCTGTCGCACACGCTGCAGCAGGCGGTCGATGTCAAGAACATTGACTCCTTCAGCCGCATCAATGATGACTTGGACCAAACGCAAGTCGTGCTGGTACGCCATCTGCCTGTCTCTCCCTCTCCCTCTCTCTCTCTCTCTCTCTCTCTCGCTGTGTCTCCTTCTGCCTCTCTGCCTCTCTGCCCCCGCCCCCCCTCCCCGCCTGTGCCCGACATGCTACCACCGCCCACCCTTGCGGGCGGCCCTTGCTGGCCTGCTGGCTCTGACACCCCGCCTTGTCCCCCCTGGCCGCCCGTAGCTTGACACCATCAACGCCATGCTGGAGCGTGGTCAGAAGCTCGGTGACCTGGTCCAGCAGTCGGAGGACCTCAGCCTCCAAAGTAAGGCCTTCTATACCCAGGCCAAGAAGCAGAACTCCTGGTGCTGCTCGGTCATGTAAGGCACTTGCCAGCGGGCAACGGGGCGGCGAGGGTCCACCCGCGTCCTCGGCCCCGCGCCCCATGATGCCTCCCGACTGCTCCCTACCTACTTGGGCGCCCGACACATTTGCGCCAGCCGCCGCCGCCGCCGCGCTGTTGCTGCTGCTGCCTAACAAAAAAGAAGAAGAAAACAATCAATAGACACCGCGGGGTGCTCCCTCCTGACGTCTTTTGTCGCCGGAGAAAGCCCAAGAGAGGCCATAGCGAGGGGCTGGGGAGGCGAGGGGCGAAGAAGGGGAAAAGGTCCCGAATGACGTCCCTCAAGCTGGCGACCCAGCAACAGCTGCTGCTGCTGCTGCTGCTGCTGCTGCTGCTGCCGCTCGGCCTCGCTCCGGCTCTCCCCCTCCCCCTGCTCCCGGCCCGGGAGACCTCCCTCACAAACGATCGGGTCGCGGTGTCCAGCTCAAGATCCAAGCCGTCCGGCCAGAACATTAATCGACGCCCGCAGGAGAAAGCACGTGCACATCAGGCGTACCCTGCGAGATGCCAACCTATTTTGCCCTTGTGGCCCCGACCCGGGCGGTCCCACCCTCAGGGCGCCGGGATCTGCTGGTGTATGTGTGTGCCCTCGGGGGGGGGGGGGGGGGGGGGAGCGTCGGGAGGTGTATTCCTTGGTGCCGCCTTGAGGGAGGGGGAACGAAGGGCCGCCGGGGCAGGGGAGATCTTGCCCAGGTGTCGCGCCGTCCGCACTCGCAGGGGCTGCGAAGCCATGTCGGTCCAGCAGGACAAGCGGGCAGGCAGGCAGGCGGGCAGGCAGGCGCAGCTTGGCATGTGTGGGCGGCTCACCCCGGGCCGACCGCGTCCATTGAAAGCGCCGAGAGTCAGGCCCCAATGGGCCGGTGGCTGCCGGTAACACGGCCCCCCTCCCCTGCATTTGCCCTTCGCCTACCTTGACACACACCTTCTCTCGGCCCCTTGGGCCTCGGCTGCACCACCTTCCCTCCCTGCCTCCCTCTTTTCGCTCTCGCTCGCTCGCTCGCTCGCTCGCTCGCTCGCTGGCCGCACTTTCCCCCTCGGCAGCCCCCTCCTGGCTCTCGGCCTCCTCGTTGCCCCCTCCTCGCGTGCCGCAACTCGCAAAATGCTTGGGGCCCTGCACCGGCACGGGCGCCAGCTGGCCATGCCGGCCCGCTCGCAGCCGCCCCTGGCCCGGGCGCTGGCTCGGCTGCCCCTCTATGATCCGGCGGCCGTCGGCCAGGAGGGCGAGGATCGAGCGGAGGCCCTGCACCGGGAGATTTCCTCCGGCCGCGCGCAGCGGCTGATTCCCCGGTTCCGAGTGTGCACGCTCAACCGGTCCACCGTGCTGGATGACGCGCGGTCGCCCTTCTTCCAGGACCCGGCCGGGCTCATTCGCAAGTACGGGCCTCGCACCCTGCGCGGGGTGTTTGACCGCCGGCAGGCGCGCAACACGGCCAGCTTCAAGACGCACTATCGCCTTGTGGCGCCCGGGCCGAGTGACAGCACGGCGCCCGGGGGCGCCTCCGAGCATCCGGCCCTGCCCCCACTGCCGGCGGTGTCCGGCGCGCTGGAGGCCATGTCCACGCGCCTGCACCGGCGCCGGACCAACCGCTACCTGTCCATGGCGCCGGCCGTGGCACGGGCCGAGCTGACGGCCGAGCAGGATGCCTACCTGCGGGCGCTGGCCGATCGCCAGCCGGGCAAGCCGGTCGACATGCCGACCCCCAGCCCCGGGACCCTGCCGTCGAAGAAGTTCCTGAAGAACCCCCCGCAGCACTACTACGCCAAGGCGCTGACCCCGGAGCGCACGCGGTACTTCATCGAGCGGGTGCGTGACCGGGCGGGCCTCCTCCCGGCGGCGCGCCGCCCTGGCATGCCCCTGGGACGAGGGCCGGTCTGTAGGGGGGGGGGGCGGGAAAAGGGGGGACGAGCTGCGCACATCACACCGTGCACCTGCAAGCACGCATGGCCCGGTGCACGCGCATGAATTGCTAACCCTTCGCATGTTGCCTGCCGGGCGCGACAGCGTTCCTACTTTGCCTGGAAGTGGGCCGATCGCGTGACAAGCCCGGCAGTTCGGCTGAACCCCCTCGGTGCGTCCCGGCCCATGCGCTGCTGGGGCCCTGTCTCCCTGTGACGCGGGCTCCTGGTGCCGGTGCATTCGCCCGCCCGCCCGCCCAGGCGTCCGCTCGTCCCCTCTGCCCGGTCACAGCCCGCCCTCTAGCTGGCGCTCGCGCTCGGCACTCACCGCCTCCGACCTCCCACACACACACACACACACACACGCGCGCACACACGCGCGCACACACACGCGCACACACACGCGCACACGAAGTTCAAATGCTCTCCTCTCCTCTTCGGACGTGCCAATCTCTCGGCCGGCCCATTCCCCGCGGTGCGCTTTTGGCCTGGCTCATGGACCTCCTGCCCCCCCTCCCCCCCT